CATATACATATACATATACATATATACATATAATATATATATATATAATGCATATACATATAGGCCTACATATACGTACACGAACACGTACACGTACACATATGCATATACATAATCTTTTATACATATACATATACATATACATATACATATTTGTTACATATATGTATATACACAGATAATCCTGGTAACTAACAATACACTTTCAACAATACAGTGTGTATTGTTGAACACCTTCTAACAATACACTGTGTATTGTTGAAAACCTTCTAACAATACACTGTGTATTGTAGTAGGTACCAAACAACTGTGTATTTAAATTCAATTTCATTTTCAATAAATTCAATAAAATCAATCAAATAATTTCAATAAATTCATTTAAATAATTAATGTCAATTTCAAGTTTACAAATCAAAAGGTAAACTAATTTAAAAAAAGAAAAAAGAAAAAAAAGTGTATTGTTAGGTGTTCAACAATAAACAGTGTATTGTTGAAAGCTCATAGATACCTACTACAATACACAGTGTATTGTTAGAATGTGTTCAACAATACACAGTCTATTGTTGAAAGCTCGCTAACAATACACAGTGTATTGTCAAATGCCTAAACATACAACACACTGTGTATTGTTAGTTACCAGGATTATCTGATATACCGTGTATAAGGTTCGTGATATTATTTAGAACACATCCCCACCTTTGCGCTGCAGGCAATTATTTCAGGTAATGAAGGAATTACCCGTGCAGGTGCTTTGATCATTCTTGATATTTCGTCTCTTACAATTACATCTTCGTCTCTAAGCATGAAGTCTGCGAAAGACAGAGGCAGATGTATTTAAGGCGCATTTATAGATAGGTGTAATGTTTCCGGCTTTAGCGACCAATTTTCATGAATGACCAATATATTGCGGCTTTATCTACGGCTTTATTTGAGGTTTCTTTCCCACATGTGGAGCCGGAATCACATTTAGAAGCCGTCGGTCAGAGTTGATTATATAACTGTGTAATGGGGAGAAAAAGGTTATTACTTGTTTTGTGACTCGCGGAATATTGGCGAGCGCAGGTAAAAAGATTTTTTCTGCCGAAAATTGATTACTCGAACTGTGCGGGATAAAAGCTGTCCGAAATGTCACGTTGGTCGGCAAAGCCGTGTGAGTATGCGTGTGTGCGTGGACCCAGTCATTAAATACGGCTGTGCAATTCTCTACCGGCAGTAAAACCTGTACATGTTGCCTCTGCCTGTGTAATTCCGCGTACAGCTGCATATACGTGCAGGTCTATATGGCACACTCGCACGTATACAGACGCGCCGGCTTTCATGTTCGCCGGAATTGTACGCGAACAACGGAACCCTGGCGGGCGCAAAAAGCATGCAGTTAGGTGTAGTCTGGCCGTGTGGAATTCTTCGTGTGCCTCGAAATTTATCGCATCCGTATTTAGTTATTTCGTGCTTTCTCACACGCACCGTTTGAGCGAACTGCGGGAGACTGCCGGTGAATAGAAGGAAGAGAGAAGGGAGAGAGAGTTAGTGAGAGCAACCGAAAGAGAGAGAGAGAGAGAGAGAGAGAGAGAGACAGAGAGAGAGAGAGAGAGAGAGAGAGAGAGAGAGAGAGAGAGAGAGAGAGAGAGAGAGAGAGAGAGAGAGAGAGAGAGAGAGAGACTTACACAGGGCACATTCTAGCAGCCGAGGGAAAAGCGGGTGGGCAAGCACGAGAGCGAGCACAGAGACAGAGCGAGTGAGCGAGAGGAGAACGCAGGTAGCGAGCGATATAGAGGTAGAGAAGACAGGAGAGAGAGAAGGAGGCAGCGAGAGACAAATGGAGAGAGACAGACAGAGCGAGCGATATAGAGAGAAAGAGAAAGAGGGAGACAGAGAGAGGTGAGGAGAAAGCGAGGGGACAGAGAGCGACAGACAAGAAGGAGCGAGCGAGATAGAGAGAAAGAGAAAGAGAGAGACAGAGAGACAGAGAGAAAGACAAAGAGAAAGTGAGAGAGAACGTTGTGCTACGCGCGCCACCACGCTGCACGTCCGCTCGCACGCTTGCTCGTTTCGTTTCCTCTGCAATCTCCTGCGTGGTAATTGCACGTCAGTGTCATAGCGAGCGCTTCTCTCACCGCCGGCTTCCGTGCGTAAAACTAAACGCGCTCTGCGTTCGTTCGTGCGCATCGGGCTCAGCGTGAACCTTCGATAGTTCACCGCGGAATTCGATGACGGGTGGATGGCTTCTATTGGATCGAATACAGGCACGAAAATTCCGTCCCCGGTATTTCGAGTGCGCTTACCGACCGCATATGCCTCTGCAGCTCTGTAGCTCTGTGTATATTTTGATCAAAAATTCTTTTTGAAAATATGAGAAAATATGAGCGATGAATGGGCAATGCGGCTATGCAGCCGAAATAGATAGAGCGCAGTCGACTCGACGCAAAAACTCGTAGTCGTAGAACGTGTGCGTGCGTTCGTACGTACGTGTGTGCGTGCGTGTGCGCCTGCGTGCATGTAATGTGTATGAGAGAGAGGAGCCGCGAGAGAGAAGGGGTAAGAGCGGAAGATGGATGGGTAGATAGATAGCTAGGTTGATTTAGAAAAAGCATGAGAGAGAGCGAGAAGGAGATGGGTGGGGTTGAGGTAGAGATCGCGCGTGAGCATCTTGTAAGAATCGCATATATATGAAGCCACTACAGCGCGGTGCGCTATATGAGCTGACTAGGTACACACACGCACGCACGCACGCACGCACGCAGAGAGAGAGAGAGAGAGAGAGAGAGAGAGAGAGAGAGAGATGCTGCGCAGATGCGACTATTTGTGTGGCTGTAGGAAATTTCAAAGCGGCTGCGTCATCGTTGTTGATTTTGCGTGTGGTTTCATATCTTTCACTCGCTGGCGAGATTACATGTGAAAGCATTCCACTAGCGAGCTAGCGGCATGCAGTGAGATATTCTCGCCTCGTAAAACACAAGTTAATTGATATTTTCAGATAAGGTTAGTGTTGCTCCGCACCGCAACGCACTGGGTGGTATATTATTGATGATGAACCATTTAATTACCAATTATAATGCATTAGCTTTAGTTGGCGGCATCTAGGGATTATGCCCCAGAGGAGCGTCGAGTGATCCTTCTTGCATGCCAAGTTAGGAAATCTGCACTCATTTGTGGTTATCCTTAATATTTATGTCGCTTAATAATATGTCGCGGCATAAAATATGAAGGCAATTCATATGAAAGAAGCAGAACTTGCTTTGAAGTATAGATTGACATACTTGGTCATGGTCCGAGTGATTGGCTCTAGTGTTTACCACGCGAGCAGGTAAGAGGATTGGGATTTTGTTTACGGCAGCACCCCATTCGCGATTACACCTGCCCCTGCGAAATTAAATGTGCAAGTCGGGTGAAAGCCACCCCCGCTGCATAGTGCTCGCGTGCCCTCTGAGGACGTATAATGTTCCGTGCACTACTGTCATATTTTGTTGCGGCTTTAATATAGCAGAAGAGCGCATACATTATTGAGCAGTAGTTTTTCACTTAGTTGATCTGTGCGGCTCATCGTCTTCTCTGTCTCAGCCGCGCAGCAACGCAAGCCAGGCAGCCGCGAGATTCGAATGATCGTAGCAAAAAAATGAATTCATAAAACTAGTTTAAAAATGTGCATGCGAGGCGATTCTCCACCACTTATATTCAACGTCATATTGAGAACGGGCTGCGTAGTTTATGTGCCATTGCCATTTCGGGCGATCATTGCTGAGGTAGATTTCTGGAGGCGTATAACTCTGTGGTTAGGAATATTTACATGTAAGATGATTCTGAATTCTCTTCAGATGGCAAAATCGATTTTCAGTATTCAAATGATGCCATCAAAGTTTTGCCGTCATTACGGATATTTGAATACATTTCCAGCACGTTTAAAGATTCGCTGTCAAAATAATAAAATTCAGTGAATACGATAGCAAAGTCACGATGATGAAAATGATATGTATCACGCACACAAAAAGCCAACTGTACTTTGATGTATTTTCGATGGATGTCTGGCGTTATTGGATAAAGTTACGATTTTGAAAGGAAATACCTCCGGGGCATGGGCATTTCTCAAGTAAAAATGTTAACGTCATCCGCGAAAGTTGGTTTGGGTACGATGTTCGTGCATGTGCTGCCACCTGCCGCTCAATTTCTCCATTGTTGTCGAATAAATAAATATTCGGCGCATCAACTTCTTTAGAATGTAAACAAAATACAGAGGCGAGACACATTTGCGAAAATGAGGCCAGGGGTCCCAAACTAAGATCGCGCCGAGTTTTCATGCGACGAGAAAGTTGAGTGTCCTTCGTGAAATAGAGGTCATTACTGGCCAATACGGGACATCAATCCACTACACGTGCACTTAGAACGTTTCAATCATAAAATGATGGTAAACAAACACGAAATGTATTTACTACCAATTTTCTCTACTCTCTTTCGCCTATTATTAGTAATAACTTTCTGTAAATGTCATTCAAATTCTCCTCTACAATGCTCTATGCTACAATGCTCAATTCCCTATGCTCTATACTACAATGCTCTGCAATGCTCTACAATGCTTTATACAAATGCTCCTCTACAATGCTCTATGCTACAATGCTCAATTCTCTATGCTCTATGCTACAATGCTCTGCAATGCTCTACAATGCTCTATACAAATGCTCCTCTACAAAAAAACGCGCCGCTGTGCACAAACAACAAAATTATAGAGTAATTATTACGACAGAGGCGTACGATATATTGGTGATGAACTAGCTCTAACCACGGAGCGTAGTGCACGTATGATATAAGTAATCCTTCGCCCCGCAATAGGTTAGCATAGTGTACCGTGGCGGAGCGAAAGGCTGCACGGTTAGAGCTAGCGAGCCTCTCATTCTTTAGTACGGTCTCTTGTAACTTTGAGGAATATTCATGGGGTTATGAGGTTAGTCCAATGATCGAGAGAGTGGAGTGGCGTTCTAAATCGACGTTGTTTGTTGTTGTTGTTGTAGCGAGCACGGGGCTGGCGCAGGTGACGGTTAGGATTGAACCACAGCCAGTACAGGAGAACACGAGTGTAGTTCTTACCTGTGACTACCTCCTGCCGGAAGGTCAGGAGCTCATCGAGCTGACGTGGAAGAAAGATGGAGTTGGAATCTACAGACTCCGGAGGTACGAACAACTAGATACTAGATAGAGGAGTAATGCCATGAACATATATATATACATATATATATATGTCGTATTATAGTATGTATTATAATTTGTATAACATATATGCGTGCGTGCGTGCGTGCGTGCGTGCGTGCTTGCGTGCGTGCATATGTGTGTTATACTAATTATAACCTTATATTATAACTCGGCGCTCTCACAGCTCGTAACTGTCATGACTCGGTGCATCTTGTCCGCTTAATTCTGTATCCGTAGCTCACGAGGCGAACAGCGCGGGAGTGTTTTGACGAATATTACGATGCAACTCTCGCTACACAGGGGGGGGGGAGGTTTTACCTCTCAGCGAGATGCGGCGATTGTTGGCTAACGCTCAGTGACAGCAAGCATAGGCGCATGACCGCCGCCGCTAGGCGGATACAGGTATTAGCTTCGCATTAATAAGTAAGCAAGAGGAAGCGGGGTGGTGTTGAGGGGCCGTGGAAGCGTGCAGAGCGCGGCAGTCCACTGATCTATGCGATCCTATCGCGTGCGATGAGCGATGCTTTGTGTTGCCACTCTCGCGTTCAAGTCTCGATGTTTGTGAATCCCTCACAAATCGATGTCGAAACCATGCAGGTCCGCATTTCGGAGGTAGTCCATCATGCGATACATATAGACCCTGGGAAACAACCCCCCCCCCACGTCACCCCCACGTCACCTAACCCACCTTATCAAAACCTTTTGATGAATCCTTTTTCAAAGCCGGTTCTCATTAGAGTTCTAGAGAATCCAGTAATGCTATTGCCGGCTGTAATTCGTTTAGCCATGGTAATCGGTACGGGGTAAACAAAACCCGTTAATAAGATGTGCGCCTCATTAGAGGCACTTCCTTTGCGTGCAGTTGTACGCGCGGCCGTGTAACATGTCAACAATGAAGCAGAACACTCTAATGAGGCTAACTGCCAATTACGCGAATCCAATATAACTCCGACCAATATATGATAGTAATGGCCAGAGTATTTTCTTGTATTTTAATGAGGTTATGTATACACTCGTTCTAATATACATATACATATACATATACATATACATATACATATACATATACATATACATATACATATACATATACATATACATATACTTACCTATACAATCATATACAATCATATACATCTACCATATACTTTACTATACATATACATATACATATATACATTATATATATATATATATAATGGGCATATACATATAGGCCTACATATACGTACACGAACACGTACACGCTACACACTATGCCTATACATAGATCTTTTAGTACAATACATATT